AACTCTCACACTTCTTGAGTTCGTTAAGTAGAATATTCATATTTTTTCTATAGCATCCTCCTTATCGAATTAATTTGCAAACTGGACTGTTGGTTGAGACAGACTCACAAGAAGACGTGGAGTGGAGAGTGAAGAAAGGTGTGACTACTGAACATAATCAGTGAAAAATCTGGAGATATTCGAATAAATGCATGAAGTTCGCATTCCCGCACTCCCATTTCGCTTTGTGCCTGCCTAACCGTCGACCCCGTCCTCTGATTCACTTTTCTTTCACCTTGAAAGTCAATATGTACAATGCAATCGTGTGCGACGTAGAAACGCCTCACGATTAGCACCGAGCCCGCTGCCTGCGCCAGTCTGCCAACACGAATCCGTAGAACAAAAAACTGGCTCCACAGCCTTTATCTAAACCTGCATCGCCATGTGTGTGCGTGCCAGCGCGCTGGCACGGTTCCGCTGGATAAGCAGAAAGTGAGAGAGAGACAGAGAGAGATAGAGGAGAGAAAGAGAGCGTGCAAACGGGCAGCCTCCGAAGCGCGAGGGTGCTTAAATATTCGTAGGAGAGGGCATGAAGCCCGCCCGGGGCTCGAACGGGTCGGCTGGGTGAAAGGGCCACAGGAGCGCCCCTCTGTTGAGCCGCTTGACCTGCCCTTTTCCGCACCAGTCAGCGAAAGTGCCCTCGACCCCGACGACTCGACCACGCTCTCCCGTACGTGAACTCTGGTGATATGTTCCCTCGACAGATTACTTCAGTCTCGGTGCTGTTCCTAGAAATTTCGCGCAGTGGGCCATGTTGTGTCTAGTCACCTCTCGGAGATTGATTGATTAATTAATTATTTTGCGTTTTTGGTCGCACCAAATTCTCTGGTCGATATTCCCCATATGTGTTGGGCATGTTATATCTCTGGATGTGGCGTTGTTCCTCCCCAGCTACATTGTAAGATCCGCTGTCCTACACATTGATTTGCGGATGTTTACCCTTCCAGTTATCTGCAGCATTGGAATGCCGCCTCATGGGGCAAACAACAAGCTCTCGTCTGTTCTCTCGACACCTGTGGTAATGTAGTGCATAAATAATGTACAATCCAGTTTACTTACGCATCTTGTATACAATAACCAACCTATTAATATTTCACATTGTATATTTTTGTATTGTTTTTAGCTCTGAGGATGATCGCAACGCGATCGAAATGATCATTAGTTGAATTAAAATATTGATACATGACAATATCTCTATTTATTTATCAAAATAAAAAAAGGTATCTACTTCACCAACAATCCAATTAATTAATTAATGTAGTGCATGTTAGTGTGTCTGTGTGGGTGTGTACAAGTAGGGGAGAGGACCAGAACGAGGAAAAAAATTGCACAAAACGTTAGTTTTAACTGCCACTAACATTGTTATACTCAAAGTTAAATCAAGTAAATTCTAATTTTTAGCGACTTTAATTGATTATTCCGTTTTATCATTTTCGACTGGACAGGATGAATAAAATGAGATTCTTACCTGACATGCAAATTAATGAAATATGAAATTGAATAGAGCAGGTTGTGCGCTATTACATTAGAAAGGCAGATTTTGTGTACGATACTTGCATCTAATGAATTTTGTAGGGACGGGGTAAAATTCACATACGACTAAGCAGAGCGAAGACCGATTTGGCGCGCGAATGCGCTACCAAAAGCTTCCGTTAAACTGGTAATTCGTTAATTATCTAGACTCGTTATTTGACAATTTAACTTCGTAAACATATCGGGTAATATGTAAAAACGATGAATGTCCTCACCATCAGAAATTTAATCTACGCTGAAATCAACGTGAGTTTGAACGTCCGTGATGATATGAAGTCGAAAAGGAAATAACGTATATAGAAACAAGCAATGAAATTGGCATTGTTGCGTCTAACTTCTGTGTAATCGAAATGATTTACAATGCAATGGGGATGCTGCAATTCAGAATCCCTGCGTGGCTAGTTATTTTTCTCTTGCTAAACCACAGTATCCACAACAGACGTGGTTTCTCCGATAAATAACTGGCGAATGCCGGGACAATACCTTGACAAACTGGCTACCGACTGCGCGCGGTCGTTCTTTCCTATTCGTTATCCTATCCTACTCCTTACTTACACAAACATGCACTACTAGAACTTGTCCTGGTTGAGGCGGTGCCTCGCTGATGGGAGATACCTGGTTGGGGAAAACCCTATGGACGTGAGGTCGGCGCCGGAACTCCCATACATTTGAGGAAGTTCAACTCCACATACTGCGATAAAACATGCATTACACTAACGGTATAATGACCTTAGCCGTTGACACATCGAGAAACACTAATCAGTAAATTGAATATTCTCGAGGGAAAATGTTGCGGCTTGTAAGTCGCCTGCATTGATAAAATATGGAGAGGAGAGGTGTTTGTTGCTTAATAGTGACAAAGTAAAGTCAGTTAAGAAATTTTCGATGACGTAAAGTAGTGTGTTAGGATGTAGATAGGAGTGCTGGCTTTTATCAATAGAATTATCTATATTAATAGATTGTCTCGAATTTTGTCTGATGTCTCCGAAAATGGGTAGTGTATTCTTTTTTTCTGAAATGTATGCATATCAACAGTTATTCTAAGTATTGGATGAGCAGATATTAATCTCGATGTTTCTGACTGACTTCTCTTAATTTTTCTACACTTTCAGGGAGAACATGGCTTAAGAATAATCTTGGTATTTTTCGACACACAATCGCAGATTATTCGCAAAGAGCTCATATCTCTAATTGATCTTTCACGAAGTTAGACAAGTGTGTTTGACTACGTACCATGAATAGATTTCATTACTTTTTAAACTAATGGACAATCCAAATTAATTACTCTCCCATATAATTTGCTTAATGAATATCAAGTTTTGTACAAATGGAAATTGTAGGCATTGTTGCCTACAGTATAAAAAACGAGTTGTTTTGTAGATTTAAAATGCGTCACATTGAAACGACTTTTCTTACTTTTCAATTGTCTCTTAAATACCGGAAAAGTTATTTGCCTAAATTTCAACCGCAATAGTATCCCACGGAATTAACACATCAATCCTAGGACCCCGGTCGCTGGGGAAGATAAATCTTAATTGAATTTGCGAAAAACAGAGTACGCACGCGGCGTCAGGGATTACACATCACGATTCCACTAGCAATGAGAAAGCAAAGAGCGCGCAGCAATGAAAGGCCGTTAAAGCTACGCACAGACGTCCTTCGGCACTCCCCGGCGTAGCCTCTCCGGCACTGCCCGACCCGTTTACACAGCCTATTCTACCCAGACCCCACCCTGCCCACTCGACTATGCTTTGCCTTCACTACGACGCCCGATCGTGCCAAACGCGCAGCCGTCGCTCCCACCCCC